CAGCAGCAGCAGCAGCAGCAGGCGCAAGAACAAGAGATGCACGAGCAAAAGGCAAAGATCAAGCAGGAGCCGCAGTCACAGCAGCAGCAACAGCAGCAGCCTAGCTTGAAGGACAAGCAGCACGAGAACCATCAGATACTGAAGGAGAGTATCGAGATGAAGAGTCAAATGAGTCCGTATCACGTGTATCACAGCGGGCAGAGTCAGAGAGCGGCACCTCCACCGCCGCCACCTGGTCCGATGCAGGACGATCGAAGGTATTACCTGTACCCGGGCGATCAGAGGCGAAAGGAAGAAGCGAGCAAACAGAGTCAACAGGCGAAACCACCACCACCGAGTCCGAAGCACCAACCGAAGCAGGAGAAGCCGCAGGACTTGGGGAAGAACGACGACTCGAAGAGCAAGCAGGAGGGTGTGAAACCGACGATGGAGACGCAAGGACCACCGCCACCGCCCACCTCGCAGTATGCCTACATTCACCCGGGTTACATGCAACCGCAGCATTACAGCGCGTTGCCATTCGATCCCGGTCATCCTATGTATCGCGGGCTCAGCCCGATGTTGGTTCCTGGACCGTATTCCGGCAACCCGTACCTCCATCAATTGCCGAGGTACCACGCGCCGGAGGATCTCAGTAGACCGCCTGGCGGCAAAGCCCTCGACTTACTTCAGCATCATGCCAATCAGTATTACTCGGCGCACAAGATACACGAGCTTCAGGAGCGTGCGCTCAAGTCGCCCACGCCGAAAACGTCCGCGGCGTCGGCCAGTCCCTCGTCAGCGGGGCCGACACCTTCGCGGCCACCAAGCGGGCCGCCTAGCTCGGTAGCGGGGCCGGGTCCACCGCAGTCGCAGGCTCAACAATCCCAGACCAAGCAGCAAAGTCAATCGGCAGGGCAACAGTCTCAGCAGCAGCAGCCTCCACCGGTCGACGGTAGCGCCGGAACTTTGACCAAGGACAATAGATCACCTCCGCCTCAGCGACACGTGCACACGCATCATCACACGCACGTTGGCCTAGGCTATCCCCTATTGACTGGACAATATCCTGCCCCTTACGGAGGTAAGCCTCTCGTCAGACCCTGACAATAAGTCGCGGTTCGAGCCGAACCGACCACTGTCGCCGCCTCCGCCGCCGCCGCCACCACCACCATCACCACTACCGTCGACTACGACCAAGATCGTCGCCAACACCACGATCCCGTCCCGATCTTCGATCCTCGTTCTTCCTTCTTCGGATAACCGATCGTCGTCCTCGTCCTCGATAGACGTTCGAGAGGACTGATGTTCCTGTTACCTCGCTGTTCGAAAATCGCACGACCGATGAAACATCGAGTCTCGCGAGAATCGATAGAAGTTAGATTCACACGTGAAGATGATACCTAGACGAGCACGGGAAATATCGTATCGGCGCTTCTCGCGTTTCTCCACGTGCTTGTATTAAATGTACATTAAAAAAGCGTTGGACTAAAAGGGTACTGTTGAATCACAAAACGCTTGAAATACGTAACTACGGATACCTAGCTCACACTGTGATAAATCGTTGACCGCGATGATCGATATCGGCGTGCATGCGACCTGTTGCGAAAATCTACTACTGCTGACGATGGTCGATCGAGCCTCCTCCCTCCATCCTCCTTGAATTTTCAATCTCGATGGAACGTGTCTTCATCGTCGAGAGTGTCGTTAGGAATCGTTTTGCGCAGTTGTTTCAAGTATTTTTTGGAAACTTCGTTTTAACTTGGTTCTCACAAACGATACTTTATTCGATATCTTTTTTCTCTTTTCTTTTTCTCTCTACGCTCTGACAAAGCTCGACGATACTTGCCATGTATTATATCTTTCGACCACACTCTTTGGTCGTGACTATATTCGGGAGAACGCGCGTCGATTTCGTTAGGTATCGATAAAGATATTAACATATGAAATGTCCGATTTTTAATAATAACAACTGTATAAAACGAACAACATCTTTCGGTCGAAATAAAAACTATTACGGTCTACAGATTTTCCCCAATAAATTATAAATTCCTCAGTTCGTTATTCAGTTATATCGATTAATTTAATTACAAGCTTTTTTAACGTAATAAAAATTTTTTTACTATATTCCGTCATTAGTCTATTTTTGTAAAAGTTTGGAATGTTAGTCTCGATAAATTCTTCGAAGACACTCTCAACAGTTTCTTGATTTAGATGTTTCAGAAAATGGTAACAAAGTTTAAAGCATTTAACATTTAAAGAAAAAGAGGATTTAAACTTTTAATACAAGAGAATATATCGGACATTTCGTATTTTACAATTAATACACCCTCTCTATTTTATTCTTCGACTCCTCGTCTCTCCCTCTTTCTTCCTTTCTTCTTCCCTATTATTCCCCCCTCTTACGCTCTTGTCCTGGTAAGTAGTTCTGACCTCTCCGTCTACTCCTCGTGCCACGGTATTCGTTCTCCTATCAAATTTGTCTTCGGTGATTGCTCGCTCGCTATACTTGGGCTGTGGAGTGATGCGAAATCGCCGAAAATCGTTGTGGCCGTAACGAACGAGCAACAACGCGAAAGGCAATCGGAGAGTTTCGTCGTCGTCGTCGTCGGTACCTGGTCGAAGGACCGTGGGATGCGCGCGGTGGATAGGAAGAAAATTCAA